AATCTGGATACAATTATAAACCTGGATACAGAATAAATAAATCTAGATACAATTATAAACCTGGATACAGAATACATCAATCTAGATACAATTATAAACCTGGATACAGAATATATCAATCTAGATACAAATATAAACCTGGATACAGAATATATCAATCTAGATACAATTATAAACCTGGATACAAAATACTTCAATCAGGATACAATTATAAACCTGGATACAGAATATATCAATCTGGATACAATTATAAATCTGGATACAGAATAAATAAATCTAGATACAATTATGAACCTGAATACACAATACATCAATCTAGATACAATTATAAACCTGGATACAGAATATTTCAATCTAGATACAATTATAAACCTGGATACAGAATATATCAATCTGGATAGAATTATAAACCTGGATACAGAATATATCAATCTGGATAGAATTAAAAACCTGGATACAGAATAAATAAATCTAGATACAATTAAAAACCTGGATACAGAATAAATAAATCTAGATACAATTATAAACCTGGATACAGAATAAATAAATCTAGATACAATTATAAACCTGGATACAGAATAATTCCATCTGGATACAATCATAAACCTAGATACAGGATATATCAATCTGGATACAATTTTGAACCTGGACACAGAATATACCAATTTGGAAACAATTATAAACTTAGAAACAGGATATATGAATCTGGATACAATTATAAACCTAGATACAGGATATATCAAACTGGATACAATTAAAAACTTGGATACAGAATATATCAATATGCCAGAATATAAGGAATAATAAACCTGGATACACGGAATAATAAACCTGGATACAAGAAATAATAAACCTGGATACTAGGAATAATAAACCTGGATACTAGGAATAATATACCTGGATACAAGAAATAATAAACCTGGATACAAGAAATAATAAACCTGGATACAAGAAATAATAAACCTGGATACAAGAAATAATAAACCTGGATACAAAGAATAATAAACCTGGATACAAGAAATAATAAACCTGGATACAAGGAATAATAAACCTGGATACAAGTAATAATAATCCTGGATACAAGAAATAATACACCTGGATACAAGGAATAATAAACCTGGATAAAAGTAATAATAAACCTGGATGCAAGAAATAATAAACCTGGATACAAGGAATAATAAACCTGGATACAAAAAAACTATAAGAAATATTTGAAACCTGTTCAAAGTGTTGAAGAATAAAGTCTTGAGCAGCTATATGAAGGTCCCAAGGTCCCATTTCTCCGGTATAAAGAAAAACTGAAACCGCATTTTTACGATCGATCCTGGATCAAATAAAGAATATAAGATAACGGATTGAGTAAGAAGGAAACAGAAGATGATTTTTTAACAAAAATAAAAGGATTCTGACTAAAGAATGAAGGATTCATATGAATGATTTTGACTGAAGAATAAGGGATTCTTATGAAGGATTCTAACTGAAAAAAAAGTTTTCTTGAAAACATGAAGGATCAGGATGAAAACATAAAGGATCAGGATGAAAACATAAAGGATCAGGATATAAACAGGAAGGATCAGGATGAAAACATAGATGATCAGAATGAAAACATAGATGATCAGGATGAAAACATAAAGGATCAGGATGAGAATAAGAAAAAGATAAGACACCCACCTATCCTTGATATATTGAACACAATCACTGGTTAAAGTATCAATCATGAGATAGTTTGCTGTTGTGAGAATATCCTGCACGTTCTTAGGACTCAAGGTAACAGTGTGGAAATACATATAGTTGATTATCTAAAAAATAAAAAAAAATTGAATAAATTATAAAATCACTTTTTACGTTTGAAGAAATTAAACACTAAACTAATTAACAGAAGTGTATTTTCTTAAAGCCTTAGAAATATTGAAAAACAAATTTCTGAAAGTATTTTAATTAAAAAAATAAACTCAAATTATCACGGTATGCATTTCAAATTTAAGATTAAAAAAACATGTTATATTCATAATTCAATAATGTTTAAGTTTATGATAGTTATTTTCATGAACATTTACAAGGATAATAGATTTGTGTTTCAACCAAAAAAAATTGATAAATCTTTAAAATTTTATGAAAAAAATTGATGGATGATATCAGCTAATTTTTGTTGCGTAGAACAAAAGCTATTTTTAAACCAAGCGCTTGAAAGAGTAAACTTTCTTCAACAAGTTAAAACCGATCTGATCAAACCAACATTTATTAGATAATTCGCTTGGTCGTTGGGTTATCCCTCCAACATCTTCTAGATTTATTTAATTTTAAAACTTTAATGTGTAATTTTAGTATTATTGTAATGCGCGGAAAAGAAAGACTTTATTTATTAATATTTACTCTCTTTTATGTCGCAGAAAATAAATATTTACATTCGAATTTTTGAAAACCGCGTTGGTACCGTTGTAAATCAGGCATTCCCTTTTTCCATGTGAGAGTCACGAGAAATTAACAGTCCTTTAATATCTGTACAAAGACATAATTATCTCAAGTAGAGAAACCAGAGAAACAAATAAAGCAAAAATGGTAATGTTACATCGTCTATACGCAACATCCTCCCTACTGAACGTATGACCTACTAGCTTTCCGACCTACTGAAATATCGGCTAGGACAGGCTAGGGGGCCGGGCGCTGCGGCTAGGACAGACTAGGGGGCCGGGCGCTAAGGCCACAATTCCATAAAGCATCTGTAAAACCACGTGTTAGTAGGTCGAATGCATAGTATAGCGGATTTGCGTAGGTCGAAAAATACACCATTACAAAAATATAGGATGGAAAGATATCTATATATTATTACAAGCTTTATCCCAAAGTTCTAACGATTTAACACTTTCATCAAAACACTATCAATTAATTTAATAACAACATTTCTACCTGGCTCATTAGGCTTGGATCTGAAATATCCTTTAGTTCTATTGACGCTAGAGATTTCTCAGCGAATTTACCAAACATGGATCGAAAATAGAAGGAGTGCTCCATCAAAATTTCTCTGAAAAAGAAAATGGATTTTATTTAGTCCTTGATTTTATTTTTATGTGTTTAAACTTATGGTTCTATCCAAGGCGAATGTTTTTACAGAATCTCATGGGTTTACATTTAATTACTGATTACACAGAAACTACAACTAAAATAGAGGAATCATGATTACACTTCTACTAAAATAGAGGAATAATGATTACACTTCTACTAAAATAGAGGATTAAATTATTACACTTCAACTAAAATAGAGGAATCATGATTACACTTCTACTAAAATAGAGGATTAATGATTACACTTCTACTAAAATAGAGGAATAATGATTACACTTCTGCTAAACTATAGAAATAATGATTACACTTCTACTACACTAGAGGAATAATAATTACAGTTCTACTAAACTAGAGGATAAACAATTACACTTCTACTAAACCAGAGGAATAATGATTACACTTCTACTAAACCAGAGGAATAATGATTCCGCTTCTACTAAACTTGAGGAATAATGATTACACTTCTACAAAACCAGAGGAATAATGATTCCGCTTCTAATAAACTTGAGGAATAATGATTACACTTCTACTAAACTAGAGGAATTATGATTACAGTTCTACTAAACCAGAGGAATAATGATTACACTTCTACTAAACTTGAGGAATACTAATTACACTTCTACTAAACCATAGAAATAATGATTACACTTCTACTAAACTTGAGAAATAATAATTACACATCTACTAAACTGGAGGAATAATGATTACACTTCTACTAAACTTGAGGAATAATGATTAAACTTCTACTAAACTTGAGGAATAATGATTACACTTCTACTAAACTTGAGGAATAGTAATTACACTTCTACTTCACTGGAGGAATAGTAATTACAGTTCTACTAAACTAGAGGAATAATGATTCCGCTTCTACTAACTTGAGGAATATAATGATTACACTTCTACTAAACTAGCGAATTAATGATTATACTTCTACTAAACTAGCGAATTAATGATTACACTTCCTACTAAATCAGAAGAATAATGATTGTACTCTTCTTCTAGACTAGAGGATTAATGATTACACTTCTACTAAACTTGAGGAATAATGATTACACTTCTACTAAACTGAAGGATTAATGGTTACACTTCTACTAAACTAGAGGACTATTGATTACAAGAAAATGATTATAGACTGAACTATAAAAAAAACTGTATATAAAATAATACCTATGGCATGGTAGATGTGTATCTCCGGATATAATAATTGTATCAAACTTTCCAAACATATGCTCTCGGGCAGCCAGGGTTTCTTTCTCATGCTGATCCCTGATTCAAACCATTCTTAAACCTTTTCATAAATATTTACATTTGAAGAAAAATCGACCCAAAACTGATTTTCAAAGAATTTGAGATTAGTTTAGGTTTAGAAATATCCCTGAGTCTCTTGAGTTTTGAATTTCTATGTCCCATCTTCCTTGTGAAGCTCATAGGATCTAGCATACTCGGAGTAAATAGGATTCTAAACCCTTGTTAGTTAATCTTCTCTTCTCATTCCATCCTGCAGTAGTTACAGCTGGAAACCTAGTCTCTATACTAAGCTAAGGTTGGAGAAAGCAATGAGGAAAGCCGGAGGTATAAACACCAACTTTATATATTTATCAAGGAAACAAATTAAACAATAATATTTAAAGCTGATTAATTTATGGTTTTAACGAAAACACGTGTTTTGGAATCAAATCAGAAAAATAAATATTTTCAACAAAAAAAAAGAGAAACCATTAAAGATCGAAAACATTTTGAAAGAAAGGAAAATAATAAAATGAAAATATTTTGAAAGAAATGAAAAAATACAGATTTTTTTATTTTACTTTAATTAAATTTTCTTTAACTTACAACCAAACCATTTAACACAACCAAACCATCTTCTACAACCAAACCATTCAATACAACCAAACCATTTAATACAACTAAACCATTTAATGCAACCAAACCATTTAATACAACCTAACCATTTAATACAACCAAACCATCTAATACAACCAAACCATCTTATACACCAAACCATCCTATACAACCAAACCATTTAATACAACCAAAACATTTAATACAATCAAACCATTTAATGCAACCAAACCATTTAATACAACCTAACCACTCAATACAACCAAACCATCTAATACAACCAAACCATCTTATATACACCAAACCATCTTATACAACCAAACCATCTAATACAACCAAACCATCTAATACAACCAAACCATCTTATACAACCAAACCATCTTATACAACCAAACCATCTAATACAACCAAACCATATAATACAACCAAACCATCTAATACAACCAAACCATCTTATACAACCAAACAATCTTATACAACCAAACCATCTAATACAACCAAACCATCTAATACAACCAAACCATCTTATACAACCAAACCATCTTATACAACCAAACCATTTAATACAACCAAACCAAATGATACAACCAAACTATTTAATACAACCAAACCATCTTATACAACTAAACCATTTAATACAACCTAACCATTTAATATACAATCTAACCATTTAATACAACCAAACCATTTAATACAACCAAACCATTTAATGCAACCAAACCATTTGATACAACTAAACCATCTAATACCTTCAAACCATCTGATACAACCAAACCATACAACTAAACCTAAACTATGCAAAATACTGTTATACAACTAAATATTGATTGTTCACTACTTTGTAATAATATACCTATGGAGTAATAGTTGAGGTGGGGATGTGTATAGTTTAAGCTCACATTACTTACTGCTGCAGACCTAAAAGAAAGCAACTATATTCTCCGTGCTAGTCATACAATCGATTCCACCCAACCCCCTAAACTCCCCCTGGGGCATATACGTATATCGATCTATCAATACTAACACCAGTATCTATCTATCTATCTATCAATCTCCGAACAGCTGGACTTAAAGCATCCGCGGGATATGCAGGAACTGGAAGCCCCCTACTCCCCCCCTTTCCCG